TTTTTTTCTTTCTCTTTCCCATCTCTCTTCACTCTCTCTCTCTCTCTCTCTCTCTCTCTCTCTCTCTCCAGTGTTACTGGAGTTTAAACTCAGAGCTTCATGCTTGCCAGACAGGCCTCTACCACTTGAATCACACCTTCAGATCCCCCACCACCATCTTTTAAAAGAAACAATATGCTATTTAAATATTCTGAGTAAACGAAAATTTAAAGTCAAAACTGTTAGCATGGGTTTTTATCATTAATCTTTATATTGTGAACTGCTTTTTTTTTTTTTTTTTTTTGGCGAGACTAGGGTTTGAACTCAGGGCTTCGACCTCGAATCTCGATTCTCCTGATCTCAGGCTCTCAAGTAGCTAGGATTACAGGCATGAGCTGCTGGTGCCTGGCTGGAATACCCATGTTAAGTGCAGAAATAAAGACATTTAACTCTCATGCAGAATCACTGAAATTACATAGCCTCTGTTTTGTAGCTGGGATGTGCATATATGTATTTAGTTCCTACAATAACTGTGGAAACACCACACAAAACCAACTTTTTGTTTCACTTCTTGATACGTGCACATCCAATCAATACTTCTACATTAGGCTTACTGATGAGTTAAGAAGAGCTGAAAGAAAAGGAACCGTAGGTTATCCTCTTGCTCCCTTTCCTCTCTGTGATAGTACCCAGAAGGACGGCATTCGTGTTTGTTAGGATGATATAGCTCCTTCTGTTGTGGGGCAAAATTGTGTCGTTCCCCCCAGTCTCTCAGTATTCTTAGTAGCTCAGAAGGTAGCCTTATTTGGGAATAGGGTCGATGTAGGTGTCATTAGTTAAAATGAGGCCATCTGAGGGAGAGTGACCCCTTAGGATCCAATATAGACTAAGCATCCTTATAAGAAGACCAGGTGACCATGAGACCGTGAAGGTGGAGACAGTCTAGTGTCAGTAGTTAGATCCCTGGCCACCACCAGACATGAGGAAGTAGGCAAAAGAGACTCTTCCTTAGTCTTCACAGGGAGCAGGGCCCTGTCGACACCTGATTTCAGACTTGTGGCCTACAGAACAGAGAGAACACATTTCTGTGGTTTTAAGACATCGCCATCATGGTCCTTTGTTATGGCAGTTCTAGAACTGAACACTTTCTTTCCGTGTTCAAAGTAAGTTCTAATTCAAATGGAACACGTGTCCTCTTAAAATTGTCATATCCCCACCCTGCCACTCCCATACCCACTGATAGTCATAGTCTACCGCTCTCTACTCCCTTTGAGACTCAATGGACTCAATGCATAGTGGCATGTAGATCCACCAAGATTCTGCACTCATGAAGCATGGGGGATGTGACATTGTGAGTGGGTCCCCAGAGGAGCACAACCTACCACACATATGTGTACTCCTCCCCTCACACTCCATTGTGCCAATGGGCTGCATTTACAGAACCAGGTTCAAAGATAAATTCTTAAGAATTCCAAGGGGCCACTGGGGGTATGGCTCAGTGGTAGAGTGCTAGCCTAGCATGTGCAACTAGCCTAGCATGTGCAAGACCCTGGGTTCAATCCCCAGTACTGCACAAATAAGCAGGCAAATAATGAATTTCAAGATGGACGCCTTTGAGCATGGGAGACTACACAATTGCACAGGTCATATGGGCGTGTGATGCTGGCCCTGGGGGAGATTTTTTTATTTTTTCCTTTCGTACGTTTTCGATCTTATACCTTTTTCTTTTTACTTAAAAAAGGAAACATGGGCCAACTTTATAAATGTCCTAGATTTTTGAGTTCTGTTTACAAAATGCCGCTTTTTATTCTTTCTGCCCAATTCTTGGACCTAATCTGAAGAATTATATCTCAAGCATTCCTATGCAAGAATCACAAAGTGTTTGGCAAATGTTTTCTTAGCTAGGGAGAGCACAGCTTGAAAGGGTTAGCTTGATTTTGGATTAAAGATCAAGGTAGTAATAAGGCAGATATCTCCCTTCTGGCCCTGTGTAAATCAAGCCAGGAGCAATGCAAATCCATTAAGACCCAAAGGAAACATTACTGAACATACATGCTTCAACTTTCCCTACAAAGCTGTGTTGAAGGAATTTATGTCTCAGACCCACCCGCCTAGAACACTCACTGCAGTGTGACTATGGTAGCAAAAAGCTACTGGAAAGAACTGCAATGTGTGGTAAGAGAAAACTGGTTACATACATCAAGATGGATTCATCCTATGGGACAATGGGTACCACACAGCTCTGCAGATGCTGCCGTGGAATAACCGAGTGGAAGAATAAGGGGCAGAGGACGTCCGTAGCATGCTGCAATAGGTGCAAAAGGAAAGAAGGCCAGAAGGTCTGCGGTCACTTTTGAAGGAGACATAGGCAATGGTTATCACTGGAGAAGAGAGCGAGGCCTGGGACCAGAGTCAGAGCAAGGACTTCTCACTGTATATGAGAGTGGGAAAAATAGTAATAACACCATGCTGGAAATATTAGCCTGATTTATTTCTATTCAAGACTGGAATAAGCAAGAGAGTCCTCTCCCCACCCTGCACTTTATACATAGGAAATTTGAAGACAGATAGAATGCATTGATTTTTATCTGTGGTTCCCAATCCATGAGTTTCAGAGGTTGAGTGGAGGAATGGTAATTGATCCATAGGAAGCACTTAATTAAAGTTCAGTTTTTGAATGAATCTATGAATGAACACTTCTTCTTGGCTTGGTTGGGGATGGAAGCAGACGGGAGAAGTTAAGCCCAGTTTCTGGCCAGCACAGGAAGTCCTTCTCTGCTAAGGTCCCCTGTAGACAGTGACTCACCACCAAAACCATCAGTTTATTGGTGCAATGTATTTTTACTCTTCAGAGATTCTGGGAAAATGAGGGACTCCTGGTTACCAGAATGAGTATGTTTAGAACCCTCTTAAAATAGCCCTGAGAGAAAAAACTCAAAGTGTCTGTTTCCCTGTCTGTTATCAGCACACCTGATAACTGATAACTGAAGCTTAGGAAGGGGAACCAAAACTTAGTGAGTAATCAAGGCCTTTCTTCTTTCTATGTACCCAGAATAAAAAGATTATTGAAAAAGAAATAATAGTGCTAAGTAAAGCAAAGCAAAAGCAAAACACCAACACATGTTGTTGTTTGGTGGAAGGCCTCTCCATAAATATATTGTATTTGAAAATAACATTCATTCTTTTCTTTTTTCCGGTGATGAAAGTAATGTATGTTTCCTGAAGAAAATTTGGAAAATACAGATATGCTAGGTAAAAACAGTAAATTAAATTTTCTGATAATCCTATCATTGATTATAGTCAATATTTTTACGAAGGTTCTTCAGTTTCTTGTGTGTGTGTGTGTGAACATGTGTGAATTAGTAACACGGGGCTCACACTCTAGTCTCATTGATTTAATGTATTCTGAACACTTTTCAATTAATTTGCACTCTTTAGAAGATGATTGAAAGAGTGTTTTTAACCAGTTGTGCATTATAACAGTTCACTGTAACAAAAAAAGAATTTTGATGGAACTCCTTTTAAACAAATCTTATACTCATCTGCTTGTATTTCCTGACATAAAATAGACAGGTCAAATAACACACTTTAAAACTTTTTGATTTGTTTTCAAGGGGGGGAAAGTCATCTGTCTTCCTAACAACACTGTATATTTACCAACCTTTAAGATTTGGTCTAAAACAGGTTTATCTCCCTATTTTTAAATATGAATCTCGTTGCTTTTCTCACAGATGCCCTTCTTTGAATGCTAGATAACTGCACTCCTCACTTCCCAGAGCCATTAGAATTTTATTAGAGTAATTCAGGTAAAGGCGGTATTTTTACCTCCCTCTGTTTCTTCAAGTCTTATTTTGTCCCATCCTTTGTAATCTCTTCATGAAGAGCCTGCACATTTATTCAGTTTATTCCTGGGTGTTTTATATGTCTACAAGGGCTCGTAATTTTTTAATGTTAAAACTGCTTGAAGGTTCCATTGAAGTGTATCAAAGTTAAAATTCTTTTTTCCCAAGTGGGTCTTTACTTGTAGAAAACCAGGCAGAAACAAAAGCCTCTTTACAGAGGTTATTTACCTGGCGGTGCCTTTATACTGGGCACCGTGATTATGACAACGTGTCTTCAGCAGGTTGGTGCAACTTGTACTGCCATTTTACCTGATCCTAGGCTCGGAGAGCTGGATGAATTGGGGGAAAAAAAAATCACCTGAGTGGTAGGTGGATCTCATTCCAAGTGTGTGAATCTCCAAAGATGTCACCAAAATCAGAACCCAGAGCCGTGCCATCCCACGGCTGCTTCAAGAACCTGCCTTTCTAAAAACAATCGGCTGGATTAAAAGGCCGCAGCTTTCCATCCGCGTTACCTTCCGAGAAGGCTGGTTTCCCTCCGGGGTTGGGCAGGGAGTCATCCTTTGCAGGAGCACAATAAAGACGGGGTCACTTACTGCGCCCCCTTTACAACGTCCTGGATACCCAAGACTGGCTTCTCTAGCTCTTTTGCGGGAACTGTCGTTTGGAAATCTACCTCCCCACCACCCGACACGTTTAAAAGTTAAAAAGAAAGAGGGCAAAAGCAGACGGCCCCGCGCAGGTTGGCCGGAGCAGCGCACGTGGGCGGGAGAACTTTCTGGGGGCGTCCGCGCGTTCCACGCGTGGTGCGCGCAGGTGGCGCCGCGTCCCCGCGCCTGATCGCGGGGTGCCCAGCCACACACCCCCAGCAAGTTTGGGTGAAGGCGAAAGGAAGCACCCGGCGCAGGCGAGGGAGAGGAGCGAGCAGGAAGCACCGCGAGCGCTGGGGGAAAGAAAGACTCCAATTCCCAGCCCCCAGCCCCGCGGGGCGCAGGGCGCGGGCGGCGCATGCGCGAGGCCCGGCCCCCAATTCCCCCAGCGAGGGAGGGAGGCCCCCGGCGGACCGGAGCTGCAAGCCGCGGCGGGACCCGAGCGCACGCAGGGGTGCGGCGGCGGCCGGGCCAGCCGGGCAGCGGAGGCGACAGTGGGGGACACCGAGCGCCGGGGGCGGGGGGGGGCGGCTGGGGGGACCGAGGGTCCAGCCGCGTGCGAACACCACCCGGGGAAGGCCCTGCCATCCGTGGCCCCCCACGCCCGGAGAGGGATGCGTGAGTTTCGGGCCGGCTCGAGGGCAGGATGTGGGAGCAGGACAAAGGCTGGGCGGCGGGGGAGGAGTTGGGGACAGCGAGCTGGTGGCCGCCGCCGCCGCCGGAGCCTCAGCCTCGGGCGAGCTAGCAACTTTTCGCTGTAACTTTTGCAAAAGGGAAGATGATCATTCTGCAAGTTGTTGCTCAGCTCCGGGTCGCCGCGGGTCCGGCGCGCAGAGGGGAGGGCGCATCGCGGGCTTCCCAGGACGGGAGGCGACCGCCAGCTCCTCCGAGCGAACGAGGCTGGAGGGGGCGCCCGGCCCTGGACGGGGAGGGAGCGAGGATTGGGGTGCCGGGGGCGGGGGTGCCGGGGCGCTCCTGCCACTAAAGTTGCCCCGTGTCCCCGCAGGGTGCGCCCTGAGAGCCCGGTAGCCTCGGATCGCGGCGCTGCGGTGGCGAGGATGGACGAGCCGTGGTGGGAAGGGCGCGTCGCCTCGGACGTCCACTGCACCCTGCGCGAGAAGGTCAGTCCCTCCCCGCCAGTGTCACCCGCAAGGCCGGGTGTGTAAAAGCCTCTTTCGCCCTAGATTCCGTGTCCTCACGCCGCCCCGCGTGGGAACTTGGAACTCCCGGTGCCTTTCTTTGCTCCTGTCCTTTAGCGTCAAGTGTATGTGGGGGTGGGGGAGCGTCCGGGGGGAGAGGGGAGAGGTTGGAGAACTTGAACTCGGTTTCTCTAATTAGGAGCCCAGACCTCCCGCCGCCTGCTAACGGAGCTGGTCACCATATTGTACGGCCAAGGCAGTATTTCCCGTGGTACTGCCACCCGAGATTGCTTGAATCGGCCTTTAAAAAATAATTGCATTTCAGTGTGCAATTCAGACCTGTATGTGTATTCATAGCAAGTTCTGCATAAATGATGGTTTCCCGTTTATCGTGATAATGACGTAACAGTTCCTTTTAAAATAAGCTTATTAGATTGGGGGTGTGGCTCAGTGGTAGAGCAGGTGCCTAGAATAAACCTGTTTATGTAAAAGTAGTAACTTGTGAAGAAAAGTTAGGTTCCTGGGAGTAGTTGAGGGTGCCGAATGCGTCCGTACATACGCACGCGTATATTTAATGGAACTGAATGATCAAAATGTAAGAAACACCAATGTAATTGACAGAGGCTGCAAACTGGAGGGCTGAGGAGAAAACAAAAACTCCCCTGCCAGTTTGCCTCCTGTGGCAGAAGGTGGGGACAGCTGAAATGGATCCCTGCTCTCCTCCCCTGGGGGAAATTGCTGATGGGCAGGTGAAGCAGGGGAAGAGCCCAGGTGACTGGGCTGTGTGTCTTTCTTCCTGTGCCTGGGCAGAGGCTGGAAAGGGTGGTTTGAGGAACCACTGTGGAATAGAGAGGGTGGGTGTCCTGGGGTGGCCATGACAATGTACCACAAGCTGGAGGGCTCCAAGCAGGGAAATATATTCCCTTGTAGCTCTGGGAGTTAAAGGTTCAAGATCGAGGTGTTGGCTGGAGCAGCTCTCTCTGAAGGCCCCAGAGTCTTTCTCTGTTTGGTTTTGTTTGCTTTTGGTTTTTATTTTATTTAATTTTGGGCCATACTGGGGTTTGAACTCAGGGCCTCATGCTTACTTGGCAGGTGCTCTACCACTTGAGCCACTCCACCTCTGAGGGAGACCTGTTAGTCCCTGTTTTAAAGATTAAAAACAGAACTCGCTCAGGTATTGATAACCAGGGCCCCCGCTGACTTGAGGTTGGTCTTATTAGGGCAAATCTCAGTTCCTTTGATTATAACATCTATCTCCTCAGATACTGCTGGTTGTTTTTCTCCTGTGTTTCCTTTCCCTTTTCAAAGAAGGAGGGATTTCCTAAGAAAATCTGGCTTAATCAGGAGTTTTCGGAGAAGTGCTGAGGAGAGGGAACCCAGGGACCCCTTAGCGTTTCCAGACAGGGTAATGTTTCATTGAACGTCTGCTCTGATGATGCATTTCTGTCACTGCAGAACCTTACAGGGCCCGGCACACGGTCACTCAGCTGCTGAGTGCTGCCAGCAAGCGCAAAGCATGGTTCCATCCATGCTGTGTAACTGGGATGCTGTTAGAACCACGTCCTCAGATGACCAATGCAGGAGGCAAAGCTGAGATTGGGGAGGCAGGGGGAGCCCCACTTTGTCAGATGTCAGTCTAGGCAGGCCCCCGAATACAGTGTGTAACATGCAAATGAATGTAAAGTATAAAGGCTGTGAAACCCTGAGGCACCGACTTAACTTTTCTAACTCTGGCTCCTGTGGTCTACACCTCCTGAAATGTCCAGCATTTAGATTGTGTCACTTCCTTGCTTAAAGACTTTCCGTGACATCCTGTTACACTTAACAGTAAATTCCTAGTCCACACCACTGCCTGGAATACCAGGCACAATCTGGCCCTTGTCCCTTCCCCACACTTCATTGCTCTTGAGCCACACCAACCTCCTTGCTGCTTAGGTTGAGCTTGTTTGTACCTCAGGGCCTTTGCACCAGCTTTTCTGTTTGGAGTCTGTGCTTCTCAGTCTGCAGCATAGTTGCCCTAAAGTCTGTTACTTACCCCTCCATATCACTCTGTCAAATCACTGTGTTTTTTTCAAATAGAATTTATCAGCAACTGAAATTACTTTCTTTTAAGTTGCTGTCTTCCCCTAACCCGCCCCCCCGCCACACACACACAGTAGAATATTTGCTCTTTGAGAATAGATCTGTGTCTTTGTTGTTCAGTTCTGGGGCCTCAGTGCCTAGAGCAGAAGCTCCCCCCAAATATATGGAATGACAAGAAGAATGAATAAGCCAGGCACCAGTGGCTCACGCCTGTAATCCTAGCTACTCAGGAAGCAGAGATCAGGAGGATCATGGCTTGAAGCCAGCCTGGGAAAATAGTTAGTGAGACTCTTATCGATCTTAAAAAAAAACCATCACAAAAAAGAGCTGATGGAGTGGCTCAAGGTGAAGGCCCTGAGTTCAAACTCCAGTGCTGCAAAACAAAACAAACAGACAAAAAAAGCAGAGTGACTAAGTCAGTCTTGACTGTCTTCTGTGAACTGGGAGTGATGTCTTACAGGAACAGAAAAATGGAGAGGGAGCACCGTAAGGACTGGGAGAGTGTCGTGGTAGGTGTGTGGCAGGTGTCCTGCCTTTCCACTGTGTGAACCCCTTTACATAGTGTGCACTCAGGGTAAGGCTTGGGTTTATGACCACTCGCCATGGGACAAGGTCCACAGATGCAATGGGTGATCCTTGTAAGAAGGGCACTGTCACCTCATGGTTACCAGTGGACCGGCCATGGGTGAGCCCAGAAAGACACATGGCAGCTTGCCAGAGTGTAGTCCAAATGGCTCTAGAGCAACCTCTGCCTTCGCTTTTTCCAGGCCACACTTATCCCATGCCAGGCTCTTCAATTTCCCCTTTTCTTGTCCTTCCTGGCCCTGTGGCTGCTGTAGAAGGTCACCTAGAGCCTGCCTCCCTTTGACTCCACCCCTCGTGACCTTCTGTGGAGAGGGGGCACCGGCTGGTACAAAGGAGTCGTGTTTCTCACTTGCTACCCCACTGCCCTTGACCTTCTACCCTGAATGGGAGACAGTAGTGCACATGGACACGGAGGGACTATGACTGACGTTTTTCTGATAACCAAGTGTGTGCCACCTTGAATATCCAGGTTAAAACGCAAAGCCAACTTTTTTCCAGAAAGATGCATCCACTTAAGTTTAAAATTAATGCAGAGTTTTAAATCCACGAATCACAAGTTCAGGCAACTTTGGGGTGCTTGGGATGGAGTCCATGAAAAGGCAGCACTCAGCCTGAGGGTCACCTTCCCTGTCCTTCAAGCTTCTGTCCTCCCAGCCATGTGTCCTGGTCCTGGCAACTTTGCACTTTCTTCTTTCACAGTCTTTGCCACTTGTCTAGCAACTCGTCCTGCCCCCTAGACTGTGTTAGGCACACTGTGGCTTGTACCTTGGCATTCACAGGCCAGGGTCTGTACAGAAGGACCTCGGGATCCCAGAGTGTCACCTGATGCAGGCCTAGACACACAGCGAGCCCAGAGGGAGGACCCAGGCCCAGACTGGTCTCTCTGGGGGCATGTCTAGTGGTCGTGCAGAAATGGTTCCCGGGGACCTGACATTGGCCTCAGTATCTTCCAGAGGTCCCTCCTGGCTGAGCCAGGGTAGTCCACGATGTTGGCTGTTGTGCCAGGCCAGGTGGAGGGTGCCTACCCAGGTTCCTAGACACCTGTGTATTCGCCTCTCAGGTAATACTGGGCGGAGGCTTAGGAAAACAATTACCCCCAAGGACAAGGGCGGGTTCCCTTCATGGAACAAAGTACAGTGCAGGAACTTAGGAAAATAAAGATAGGTTGAGCCCAGGTAACAGAAACCCAAGCAATCCCACCCAGGCCCCTGTCCGGAAGTTCAGCTTTCTTCCCGAATTTTGTGTACTCAAAATTCTGTCTGCTCATTTTCGTAGTCTGCACTCTCCAGCTAGGAGGAAGAATGACGTTGTGAAGCAAAGACGAGGTTAAGGCCCTCACCACTGTGATGTAAGCCTGCCTGGGTGGATGGGAGGCTTTCTGATTGTAGGGATTTGGGGAGGACTGGGAGAGGAGCAGGATACCAAGAGCTGTGTGGACGTGGACAAGCCCTGCTTGACTTGACCTGGTAGCTTTGTCTTCCTGGGCTTTGGGGAGCCTGCGGGCTAGAGTCTCCTCCTCTTCCTGGGTGCCAGGTGCTCACTGTCTTCAGGGCTGGGAGTCACGTGATGCCTTAGGGTTTGAGATCTGCAGATCAGCCAGCCATCTGATACATTCCTCCCACTTCCTGAAGCTTTTGCATGGCCCCCTGAGCAGGGTGATACCGTGTTTCTTGAACCAGGGACTGATAAAGTCTCACCAATGACTGCACTTACACAAGTATCTTCCAAAACAGCAATAAGGAAAATTTCATTAGTGATAGTAATGTTTGTGGTGGCAGTTTTTATTTCACACAGTGTGCCCGCATCGTACCATATATTACCTCATTTGTTCCCCATCCTTGCCCCAGTGCTGGAATTCAGCCCATTTTACAGGTGGGGAACTACGAGGCACAGAGTATAACTGTCTTGATATCAAACGTGATTGTATCCAAGCTTGGATATGAATTCATTTGGAAAAACATTTTAAAGACGTACAAGACAGGGAAAAGTTGAAGCTTAGTCACCCATGACTCCATAGGCTTTTGGGTTTCAGTTTGTTTTACAGTGATCTCCCAGAGGTATGCTGCCCTGGGACAGTTAGCAGCTGTGGATGCTGGCTTGGCACTGGGCACTAGAAAGGGCTGTTGCCAGACCACAACCTCCCTGTTTGGTCCTGGCGGTGCCTGGGGCCTCACCTGTGTGTGCAGGGGGTGCATCTCACCTTGAAGTGAGTTGGCCTCTGCCATTGCCTGTTCTTGGGTTGGATGTAGTGGGCTGTCCTCATTTGTCAGGGAAGGGGACACCTTGGGGCCTCCTTCTCTTCCCTTATTTTTTAT